GTGTGTGTGTGTGTGTGTGTGCGTGTGTGTGTGTGCGTGTGTGTGTGTGTGTGTGTGTGTGTGTGTGTGTTTGTGTGTGTTTTGGAAAGATTGAGGATGCAAACGAACAACATCGTTTCTTGGATTCTAAATTTCTTTATGTGAGTCATCGGCTCACCTCGGCATCTTCAAATGTTGACATATATCCAAACGAAATGCGAATGGCGCCTGTTGGTCGACCTCTTATGATGTCATGGTCATCCCAGCAAACATTCTCCTCCTGCTCCAGAAGGCGCAAGGAGAAAGAGAACTCAGAAAAAAAAAACAATGCAATGAGCCCCATTTCTCGATTTATGTGTGTCATCCTTGCACAGGGGTCATGCTAATTAATCTTCTCTGTATTATTCCAATTTTAACTGACGTGCGGAAGGACGACCACATCCAATGTCTATGTCACAAAACTTGTTGCAAGTCGAATATGAACTAGAGGTTGAAATTTTAGTTTGACTTTTGAAGCTCAAAAAGGGTTGACTTAACTTACTTTTCGAGCTTCAAAACTTCAAACTAATTTTTAAATATGTTTCTGCAGACTCAGTGCAGAGTACTGATTTATGTTATTCTGGCTTATTCATCAACTGTTTATTTAAAATTTTAAATCATTTAACAGTTCAGAAAAAAGCAGGCCTGGAAGTGCCACACAAGAACTTTTTTCCAACATTAAGTTATTAACATAATTTAACTTTGGGTCAGACAAAAAAACTGACAGCTGGAAACAATGTGGTCCACAGTGGGCGAACCACAAAATACGGCAAGTCGTTGAAAACAAACAAACAAAAAAAACATCAATGATGTATTAATAAGTTAATAATAAATTAATAATAATTTAATATTACTTAATAACTCAAAATAATAACTGAATAATTAATTCCTCATAAATCAAGTTAAAAAAACTCATTAAGCCACAGCACATGCTCATGGACACCCAAAATGCGGCCTACCATCGACTCGTTTCAGCTTTGAAATTTGAAATTTGAATACAACATTTGGATTTTGAAATTCACACTCCAAAATCATATCATATCATATCATATCATATATTATATTATATTATTATATTAATATATTGTTAATTTGAGATGCTGGACCTAAAGCATAAAACAAAATAGTAAACAGGAAAAAAGGAGTGTCACCTTTCAACTTGAAATGACAGAACAGAGTAAACAGGAAAAAGGAGGGAAGGTTCAAGGTATTGATTCGAGGGGGAATCGAGAGGTGAGAGGGGGAACGCTCACATTGTAATACGAATGCATGTCACCGTGGGTTAGCCCCAAGTGCTTCGCACAAGACCCAGGATTACAGAAACACCCTGTCTGTTCACATCCACACAAATCAAACACCAACACCAATGGGTAAGAGGAGGGGGGGGRGGGGCAAMAAAAAAAAAAAAAAAAAAAAAAAAAGACACGATGGGTTAGTGAGGGTAGAAAGGTGAAGCTACAAAGTAAAAACCATGGGTTAGAGAGAGTAGAAAGCGGAAGCTACAGAGAACAAACCATGGGTTAGCCGGATAGAAAGGAGGCAAAGCTATTACCGACAAACCAAGCGTTAGGGAGATAGAAAGGTAGAACTACAGCCCAAGTGGGCTAGCTCAGTTGGTTTGAGCACGGAAGTGGTTTGCAGGAGGTCCTGGGTTCGATTCCCCACGTTGTCCGTCCATTCTATCACCTCGGCCTCCTGTGATGCGCTTCGGGTTCTCAAGCGGAGATAATTGGCTTGGGCCTCCTGGCTGGCTAGGAAATGACCAAACGCACCTTCCAGCTCGCGCCTGGTGTTAGAAGCTTGGGTGCTGCTCCCCGCACAGAGCAGATGTGGCTTCTTAACTTATGATAGATTTCCTGCTTTGTAGTGGATTGCTAAGTTGCATGAGGTAGGTAGGTAGTGAGAGGTATATCAAGAAGAACATAGGTTAGTTTTCTTAAAAAAAAAAAAAAAAAAGGTGGAACTACACAGAACAAAACCAACTGTCCACGCTCTACTCCCATCGGTCAAATTAAAAAGAGCACCCGAGTCACAGTCTGCACCTACAGGCAACACCGGTTTTCTTTTTTTTTCTATTTTTTTCTTTTTTTTTTTCTTTTTTTTTGGGGGGGGGTAATTGCCGGCAAAAATTAACAACTGTGACCTGTTGTCCATAAACACTTTCCACTTTTCCGTCTCTCCGCTGCAGCTGTGATCAAAATCAAAATGATCAACTGAATTGAATGCATTCACAGACCACACAATGAGCGTACTCATGCTATAACACTTTCCTGGGTGTATTTGGTCTCAATTACGTCAACCGACGGATGTATCTGACCGAAATTACGGCTCGAGTTTAGTCGAGAAAGTCCTAGTGTGAGTATGCCCTAACATGTGCTTGTTAGTTGAACATTTCGGTCAGCTTCAGTGCTGTGCCTTCTCCACCCCACATCAGTGAGACGGCAAACAACAATCAACACCTTCATTCCGAAAATGGACGGTGTCAGCAAAATTGACGAGACCACTGTTATCATTTCCTTCAAGCATACATCATGGCCTTATTGTGCTTAGCATGAGAGACAGACACATCGACGAGCCGACGGACCAACAGACGTTTCGACAGACGGATGGACATTTCCTTCAAGCATACACCATGGCCTTATTGTGCTTAGCATGAGAGACAGACAGATCGACGAGCCGACGGACCAACAGATGCTTCGACAGACGGATGGACAAATGGATGATTGGAGGACAGATCGATTAACAGACGAACGAACGGACGAACCGCCCGACAGACAAACACACAGAGCGAGCGAGCGAGAGCGCGCGCGCGCGCGCGCGCGCGCGCGCGCGAGAGAGAGAGAGAGAGAGAGAGAGAGAGAGAGAGAGAGAGAGAGAGAGAGAGAGGACAGATCGA